AACGGCCCAGAGTCCTAGTCATGGTCATGGAGGCAATACGCAGCACCGATAGGTTCCGGAGTGCATTAGAAGACGATGATGCAGCATTATGAAAGCTTCTCAACGCGTCTGCTTTCACTCTACGCCGACATTTTTGTGGGCTTAATAGGCGGGTTCTGAGCATTGAGCCTGCGTCTATTGCGATCGGTCTCTGATTGGCTTATGCAGGGACTTACACCACCAGAGTCACCACCACCGCGACGAATCTGAGGGTCTCCCCACGGCTGGGGGCCAAACCAAACAACTTCACACTATTCCCGATGTGGGAGTCTTACCTCCAGCTCGCCTCCTTTCCTCCCTTCCTGTCCGTTTTGCCAGGTAGCCAGCAAGTTCTGCAACAAAAGCCATCAGCTTCGGTTCGGAGCTTTCCCACGGATACCGCCCTGGTGGGATTCCTCGTCGGCTCGGAGTAACATCGTCGGGTGTCACCGGATCGAGGAACCCCTACCAAACAACTCCGTATGCACATATACCGTCATTGGGTGGCAGATCATTCCATTCCAGAAAATATTGACGCAATCCTGGCTCTCCCATCCGTCCATCCATCCATCCATCCAAACGGGACCCCCGCCCGATTTCGGCGCCATGCCAGTTTCGTTTCTTCCCAATCCTCCAACAATTGGTGCCACGGATCGCGAGGCCCCCTGTTCCCCGACCCACGACGCCGGCTCAAATTCGGTCGGCCAAGCCGGGATCCGTCGTCGCACCCCACCCGTCGGCCCCGTTTCCCGAGTCACTGTGTTTCTAAGCACCGAGATCCGTGAAACTCCTTGTCCAACGTCGTGAATCAGCCTCATCCTTGTCCATCTCTCACCAACACGAACTCCAGCCGTATCTTCCGCTTAAACCACTCGATTACTATATAGATTTAGAAATTGGAAAGTAGGAGGATATTTCGCCTGCCTAGTTACGTAGGTATGCAATGTCTCTCATAGCCTCATTATGTTCGGCCATTTTCTCCGCGCTACGAAGTTACTGATAGCATTTCGAGACCGCAACAAAAGTTTTGTGGTGATGCTTCAAGGCGATTGATTGCAATTGCGTTTCTTGGGTGACGAGAGGCAACGGATGTTGGGATAGACCTATAAGGCCGACGTGTTAGCTCCGGACACAGGCTCTAGTGTTATGCTTGTTGACTCAGCCTTTGCACAGTCGCAGGGCATGCCAGTCGTCGAAGTTCTTGAAACCCTCCTGAACTTGGGCTAGCAGACGTATCAGTTGTGGTCACGTCAGGGATAGTGCGATATATGCGCTGGTGCTTCGAGGACGTTACGCCAGAGCACCACATGCAATCCCTACGTTCTCAATGACTTACGTGTGGACACAATTCGTAGTAAAGACTTGGTCTTCGACTTCGATGTCTTCTCACGGTTTGAAGAAGAGTTTTGCTAGCCGGGCAGTTTCCCGTATGACTCCAATCGCAGCGCACTCGATACTTCGATCCTGCGATAGACGAAGACGATGAACGACGATAGTACAGGTAATTAGAAGCGATCACGACAGCAGCAACGACGACGACGACGATGATGATGCCGAAAGCGAGCACACAGGGAATTTATTCGCTTTCGTATAGAAAAGTAAGGGGTCTCAGTAGGACATACTGATTACACGCGTGTCTGGTGGACACTGCCTTTCATCCCAGTCAACTCAATGGTCCCTTTAAGCGATTTAAGAAGTTAGATTGAAATTCAGCGTCGTGCGAAATGGAGGAACATGTTAGAAGTCTCGATGCCCCTCAAAAAGTGGCCGTGTGGAGAGATGAGGTATAACGACAGAGGGTACCTTAAGGAAAGCGCTTCGAGGGCAGCTTTGACTGAAGCAAACAAGCAATATGTAGTGCTCAGAAAGCTTCTTCGCCAGGCAAAGTTTCACATGCGAAGAAAAAGAAAACCGGCGGATGTTGTTGCGGTGGTCTTCGAGGGCCATACTAGTGACTGCGAGCTCTGCATTTCGGTTGCCCTGAAGACCTCGAGCTGAGCAGGCACTGGGTTTGGTTTGGCAGACCAGGCGCCGCAAGGCAACTGGTTCGCTTTGGTGACTCGTGATCCTGGTTGAGAAGGCGTCGTATGTGGCATCCTGATTAGAGACCTGGTGATATTGCAGTTAAAATGACCCCTCAAAGCATACCTTAGCTCACACCACATTCCCAACAAAAATGATCTCCCTCAACCTGCGCACTGTAAGATTCGGGCTTTGCAAACTTGCACCCCTTCTATCGTCACATCTCAGGCGGTCCCGGTACGATGTGATTCCCTGCGTATATTGCTGAGATCTACCTTTGCTTTCTCATTATTGCCTTGAATCTGTCACAGTTTGGTCCACACGCTTCGTGCCGGCCTCACGTTTTCCCAAAGTGCTTCGTGACATCCTTGAATATTTCGTTCGGCAAGTACGACTCACCACCACGCAGACCCACCACTTCCTTCCATCTCTCGTACTTACCTTACTTAACCAACTTCCATCCCATCTGCTTTCAACCAGTTCAGCTAGGGTCAAGTGGCCCAGTTGGTAAAACAAGACAGCATAAATCAAATTCTTCTCTAGAGGCGCTTCTGGTTGTCTGAGAGGGGCGCTCATTCGAATCTCGTCGAGGGCCATGAAAAGGGTGATTCCTTTTTGACGCTTTTGCTTTTTTCNATTCGAATCTCGTCGAGGGCCATGAAAAGGGTGATTCCTTTTTGACGCTTTTGCTTTTTTCCCTTTTTCATTTGCCCAACCCTAAGATTTGACGGCATCTTTTGCAGTCAATACTTTTAACCATCGACTTACGGCACTAGACAAGTCACTCTGTGCCAGCCTATAACGTCCACGGTTTTAGGTAGAAGCCTCGCGCGCAGAGAGCCATATGTCTCGTCCGCCTCACCCGTACTTTCTCCCGCTCTATTGCAAAGTATTCGTAAAGCTCAAAAGCATGTTTCGAGCCTCTCGGAAGTCTAAGTATGGAGCATGCTCCGAGACGCACGCTTGTTTGCTTCACCCCATTACCCTCAGGAGGTTTCCGCTCACGCAAAAGCTTCTGCTAGGCTGTCTCCAGGGACCCGTAGATGGCTTCAACGTGAGGAGGTGACTTGACGCCCACAGTAAGTCTCCACCGTCGGCGAAAAACAGACCTGCATCAAAAGCTAATGACCGGAAAACCGTACTGCATGAATTATCTCATGTACCTATAGGACATTTCTACTCAGTTTGGATTCAGGCATACCATATGGAATGATCTTCACCGATAGTGCCTAACATAATTTTCACCCAGGTATAAGGTGTGTTAGTGTTTACTCTTCGCCAACTCCTCCAAGCCTGTGTCTTGATTTCCCTCGCAGTCTCATCACCGCTTACCTATGAGCACGGCATCCGCGCCGATGCTGCGGCTTGAATTATATGGCCACAGGCTTTGTGGACGCGTCCGCGATTGGCTTGTCGTCGCGTTGTCCGCATGGCTCTCACCTGATTATCCCACTTCCGCCCGAGCTCAACTTCTAATGACCACGCGGCAGTTAAACTCAAGTTAGATTAACGCGTTCTGAAAGCCTCATCAATGTGGGACTCAGACGTCTTTTATGTCATTGCTCCAAAAACACTCTTGTATCAATGATATCAAAGTCGTAGGGTGGTGTACTACGAGATTTAAATCAGCTAGACAGGCGAACAGTATAAACTTAGAGTTCAGATGAACACCCTCATTGACGTCTCTGCTCCAATAGAGCGGATAGCAAGACATCAAATGGTGCAGACCTCCCAGCCACCGCCCTCTTGGCTCCCATGGAGTGTCTCCGACAGGTTAACGCCGCGCCACACACACGCCCATTCGCATAGGCAACCCCGCATTGCCGCTCAATGTCGACCGGCCCTGTATCGATCTTCGTGAGCACACGCGGGCTACACTTTCTCGGCAAAAGTCATACCCCTGCTGTGCCTTCTCCGGCGTCTGCCTGAATGCACCTGCCCCAGGCCCGCTGGCTCACCGAGCGGAACGTTGGCGCCACTTGCAACCACGGTACCTTCCGGATGGGCAGAGCTCATCATCGAGAAGGGAAGTGGAGATCGACAATTTCTAGGCGGAGGAGTGTTTGCGCTACAACCGTTTTCAGCCGGGATTGAAGCAAGGCGTGTAATAGTTGCAGCGGCTGTGGTTCACGGAGAACAGCCGACAGGCGAACCACAGAATGGGCTTCTCTGGTTACAAAAAGTTCCGGAGGGGGTTGGTAGTGGAGAAAACCAGATAACGTTTGAAGTGGCAGTCAAATCGGAGATGTGATGAAGGAGAAGCCAAGTGGTGGCACGTGGGCTTCTGCCTGGAAGAAGTGGCGGCTCGGCTGGGTACCGGTGATATGTACCCCACCCCGCCGCTTCACCCGGACCCGGGCTCGGACACCAGGTGGATCACCTCCGACCGTTGGCTGTACCCGAGCTGACGATCGCCTGATGAAGGGGAAAATTGGAATTAATCTGGGGGGCTTTGATTAATTTCGTAGTCATTTAGTATAGAAAGCCGTCATTGATTTGGCACTGTCTGAACACAACTATGACATGAACCTTGTGAGATGATCGGCGGTCAACAAAAGCTGGCCTTCGTCTCGTACAATGACACTATATTGTAAATTGTGCGCTATCCTGTCAATCGTTTGAATCGGCCAAAGGAAGCATCCTCGTACTTGGCATCTATATCCGTCACTGCCCCAACCTGAGATGTTCCAACGGAAACTTGTGTGGCCCAACGTGCATCTTCTTCATCAAATCATAATCGCCTGTATCCTTCCAATAATAGACCAGTCATGTGATAGCTTTGGGCAGCTACGCGCGGGGTTTTCTCGCAAAGGTGGCCCTCGCCCAATTTCAAGAGTAATATCCAGCGTGGAAGATTAATCGGTCCAAAAGCAGCATCGTTAAGTCGAAAAAAGTGTCCTAAATTAATCCCGAGTTACCAGTCTGCGAGTAACAAAGTCAAATACCCCCTGGCCTTCCAAATGGCGAATCAATCGAGCTCCAACACGTTCACTGCCATCTCAAATCCATTAGAGCCATCGCTTGAGTAAGTACCCTCGTGAGTATGTTGCCCCGTCTTTTAAGCTAAACAGTTACCTAGCGTCATTGCCTTGCATGGAATGAACTTGAAAGGCAATTCAGGTCACGCGGAGAACACATGGACACATGAGAATGGAGTCAACTGGCTTCGAAGTCTGTTGCCCAGGCGGCTTCCATTCGCGAGAATATTGGCGTTCCAGTACAACGCCAAGGTGTCCTCTGGCAGCTCCATAGCCGGTGTCAAAGCACAATCAATCAATCTTCTAAACTGTCTCAAGAATGCACGCAAGGTTCTGTCGCTCTCAGCACAAGAAATGCCCTTTATGTAACCGCCATGGCTAATAACTTTCGCATGCAGATGAACGAAACAAGGCCGATGATCTTTATCGCCCACAGTTTGGGAGGTGTCATCGTCAAGGAAGCCCTATCCATGGCATACGAAGAGCACAAGACTTATCCAATGATATGGATGTTCACATATGGCATTTTCTTTCTCGCTGTGCCCCATAAGGGGTCACCTTTTGCCGCCTGGGGACAAATACTGAGGAATATACTATACATGAATGAGCCAAGTAATTCTTTTCTCGAGAGTGTAACGGAGCAATCCAACTACAACAAGGAGCTGAGTGCGAGATTTGAGCATCTTATAGAAGCATATAAGGTCTACAGCTGGATTGAGGGACTGAGTGTTGGTTACTTTGGCATCGTAAGCCTATTACTCCAGTTTTTCAAGGTTAAAGAACTCCTTCTAACATGCTGTCAACAGATCGTTCCAGAAGACTCGGCCAAGCTTGGTCTTTCGCCTGCTCAAGAGTTTTGCCGGGTGGCAGATCGCGATCATAGGTCAATCTGCAAGTTTTCAGGTGATGATGACCGGGAGTGGATTGTACTCTCAGGGTGCCTGGGCGATGCAGCGCGAGCCGCAGTTGAGTTCAGAGGCTACAGCCCGATCATGGCCGTTCGCAAAGCTATGTTGGCATCTTCTGAACTGGAAAATATTGGTACACGAGCCCCCTATCTATTACGTCTTGGGTTTCTCAAGCCTAACTTCACTGAGTAGCACAATCACAGGTTCTCTTATCTGAAGCAATCGAAGATGGTCAGAATGTCATTGACAGGGTAGACTACTTTCTTTCAGGTGATGAGTACCGCAAAAGAGCCGAAGTTGCAGCATCTGCAAGAAACGATAACATAACGCTTGCAACGTGGTTCTTGGCTCTGATGTCGCCGTTGTTCGCTTCTGAATTCCTGGCAGGCATTGTGATTGCTGCCATAGTGGCGCTGCTGCCAAGCAAAGAAAACGCTCTGGAGAAGGGTTCCCAGGGCCAAGAGAATGAACAAAGGATTATTGAGGTAGAGTCTTGGGCGATTGAGAGGCTCGGTGGGCATCTTCAAAATGTTTTGCGGAGCTCGAGTGCGGTTCGACATGCCATTCGCTATCAGGAGCTTGAAGAACAGAACGAAAGATTGGCTCTCGAATTGAACCATGCCCAATATTTGCAGAACAGGCTACAGCAGCAGATCAGTCTCATTACAGACGACCTATACGAGCGGCACGGGTCTCGAAACATGGCTGAATATGTCTGTGTCGGCATTGAGAAAGTGCGGACAGAGGCGGCCGGTAAAACTAAGCAACAGTTTTACTTTTATGCGATCGAAACAATCAAGGAGGAGAAGGAAAAGGCAGAGGGAAAAGGTTGGTACGACTGGTGTTGGAATGGGTTTCCTTGGAATCAGTGAAGCTATGGTTCCTCATAACCGTTTGAGTTGTAAGACATTGATGATACAGTCAATCACAGTCCCATTACTTTACTGTCGATTCCTTGACAATGTCTAAAGCTATCAAAAAACCGAAGAAGATGAGGACGAGCTGCGATGAATCAGCTAACGGGTTTCTCAAGCTCCTTTGATCATGTTCCACAAACCTACCGCTAAGAATCCCACAGCGAGTGACGTGACCTCAAACCCGCCGGCGATCGCCTTTCCACGAAGCATTGCGTTTTGAAGCCTCCAAGCCCGACAGGCCCCGAGCAGGGTCGTGCATATCGAAAGACCATAGCATACGGTGGCTAGGGGCTTACCAAGCATGGAGTATCCGAATCCCGAATCTGCTTGTTGCAGGGCAAATAGTTGGGCGACGATGGTTCCGAGGATTGCTGTCGCGACTCCTGTACGGAGATACGCTAAGAAAGTCCGCTCAAGCGCTTTAGCGAGGCAGAGACGTCGTGTTAGTGATTAGACAGGTTCAATCGCTATTAAAAAAACCATAGGGTTTCGAGCTGCGGTAGCAGGGCCTCGGCACAGACGATCAGGGAATGAATCATGAGCACATCCCTTTTATTGCCAGGCTCATCTCCATTATGGAGGCTTGGCTCCGTGGACCGCGGAGAGGATGGGGAAGCCCCCGAATCCTTGATCTTGATGACTTGCTATGTATGAAACTCCACTTGAAATAGCATTGACGGGCAAGAGAGGGCTGTACCACATACCTAGGTGATCACGACAGCTGTCGAAATCCACTACAATGCTGATCTGCTCGCTCCAGAAGCGTCGGACGAAACTTTGCTTCTTTGGGGAAATCGGCTCGTGGGCCGAAGATCCTAGGGCGGAACTCTGTGTCGTGTCGTCGTCGTCGATTAATTGCGGGCATTGCGCCGGTGAGCGTTGTACGTTGTCTTCTTCCTTTCCTTGATGTTGCAATGGGCTGTCGTTTGGTGTGCAATGGGCTTCTTCTTTTGGAAGTTGCGGCTCCCACGCCTGCAGTTCGTATTCGACCATAGCCGGCACCGTAGTTTGCTGCAGGAAGGGGCCCGAAGGCATGTGTAAGATATTGTATGTAAACACGACACTAAGCCTCGGCCAAGAGAAGCCGTCGTAAGATTTGCGATAGGGGGTCACAGCGACGAGTCTTAGCTAGCCTTTTTCCATGCAAGCGATACCGTTTGGGGAGGGATGGAATGCACGAGAGTGGTGTCGTCGTGTTGATGTGCTGCAGGCCCTCGGTTTTAGCTGCTGCAAGGATTTCGCAGTTCGGGAAATTTGAAAGCTTCAGAGTTGACAAGCAAGTGATTGCAAAAATTGCCATTGGCAGAGCAAAAGCTGGAAAATCGAAACTATTCACCATTTAGTACGGACATGGTGTTTCGGGGATGGGACCGGCCGAACGGCAGTCGGTAGCGGCAAGGACCATGATACTATCAATGGGTGGATGAAGGGATCGGCTGCCGGTGATAGGAAACAGATTTGGCGACATTTGGGCCATCCGCGATAGGGGAGTTGTGTGGTCGCCGAGAAGCGTGAGTACGGCGAGGTCCCACCAGACAAGGATGTGCGTGCAATGCGTTCATCATGTCTGCGGCAGTTGGCGGCATCGGAGCAGCTCCGATAGCCCACTTCCAGCCATGGAGCCGGCCGGGTGGAGAAGAGCTTCTGCGGGGGAACTGGAGTCTGGGGATTGTGGAGTGTTCGCCGACGACATCGTGATTTGAAGGTGTGAGAAAATCATGCTGCTTGTAACAAGAAAGTCGCGCTGCTCTGGAAACTTGGCAGGCCTCGGTTGACAGTTACCAAAACTTTGGATCGGGAACCGTTCGGATCGGATCCGTGGAGGTTCAGTCTGATGTTGTCCGTCTGTTACCGAGTCCGGGACTGACTCGACATCCCCAAAAAGAAACACTGTTGAGGAGATGCAAGACGAGGCAACCAGACATTCGGATGAGGCGGTTTTGCGAGTTTCTCCTTGGCGAGACTCTAACCTAGCTTCCCCGCGAGAGACACTAAGAACCTTTTGGAGGGCCGTTTCCATGAACCTGAAGACGGGAACGAAGGGGCGGCCCAGAAAACTTCCGGCTGGTTATTTCGCACGTCGGGTCGCCGCATGGCAAGCGAGGCAGGTCATATCTGGTCCCTCTTGCTATATCCAGGTACCCGAACTCCCCTGCTCCTTCCGCGATGTCCAGATCGCTTTTCTGAGCTCCGGTGTTGGAAAGAGGGTAGAGCGGGGCACCGATGGGAACCTTCCCCAACTTCGCACTGCCAAGCGCGCAATCCTCCTTCCGTGATGCTTCCTTCACATACTGCAACATCCACATCTCAACACCCCGACTTGACTTCCTGCCTGTCCTTGCAGATGCAGAGCTTGACGACCAAATACTACACATCACCGACCTGCACCATCACCGATCCTCGTCGTGGAAGAGTTTGCATGTGAAGTCCCAGCGGGAATGGAGCAGCGAAGAACCTCTGTTGTCTGCGTCACATCGATGGGATGAACCCTCGTCACAAGATGGCTGATCGAACCGGTTCCTGAACCGCAAAACCACACACCCTCTGTTCGCACGCCAGCGCACAGAGGTTGATACCCTGGACAAACTCTATTGTCGGCCGCTTCCAGGGTATCATCCATCTACGCCAAACGGCTTGCTATGCGGCGGTGATCATCTTCTTTCAATCGAGGATGCGACTTCGCCATGCAAGCGAGACAGAAATCGCCAGAACATCTCGATCCCTGGACGTGTCGAAGTAGTTCGTTCGGCTCGTCGCACTCTGGCGTTTGTCGATAAACCACGCCCTCCACCACTTCGGAACCCCGCTATGCCCAGAAACCAGGCACCGCCGGACACCGTACCTCGAAGCAACCCTCCATGTCCGTGTCACATCCTGTCAACGGCAATCCCCCGTGTCGGGTTTCTTGTTCCAAACAAGAAAGACGCCTGGCTACATTTCCGGTTCATGGAAATAGAATTTGCCGTCCGCTCTGCAAACCAAAGTTCAGACTGATAGTCGGCATGGCAAACTCTGGCGTTGATCATGTCCAGAGCCTGCGATTCAATGGCCCATAGTGTTCCATTGCAGCCTCGACGCTTCAGACAGGCATATTTTTGACCAATAAGAGGCTTGCCAAAGCCGAGATACGATTTTCGGACAACACATAACCACCGGCAACAACGACACCAGTTATGCCACAACGGGAAACAAGCATAGTCAGAAGCCGTCCCTCTGGGACTCGGAATTCGGGCCCCACCACCCCTGGCATTTTCTCTCCGGTTAGCCAATCCGTCAGGCCGTACGGGCAAGCCGGGCCGTCGCGCCGCCAGCTGGATCCTCTGTTCAGGGTTGGTGCAGGAGCGAGGAAAAGGCAACGTGGATCTCGAACTACTCCTGTCAGCCATATGCAGTCCCCGGTCCGTCCTATCCTACTGGACATCACTCTCCCAACCATAGCCGCCTTCACCACTGAAATCGAAGTGGCCAAATGCGGCCCTTTATATCTCTCACCACTCGACCGTACATGATGCCGATCTCTTACGGGTTCTAGAAGCTCTGGAGACGCCCAGCTTCTCGCTGCGCTGCGAGAGCACTTGGAGTGGCCTCATTGGTGTGCTTTGTGTGCAATTGCCACTGCCAAACTGCCAAGCCCCGGCATTGCAAGATTCTCTGCATCGAAGGGCCGTCGGAAGATGGTGCCTGGACATTGCACCACGAGATACTTCACACCATTGGCCACTCGAAGCATTAGCCAGCAGCAGACCATGTTCGTCAGCTGGTTTGGTATCCGTGGCTTTATTTCAGCAGATTGATTATTGAGACTTATCAGCTGGACATTGCACGCAATGCGCGGTTCTGAAGCGATCCCACCTTGGGGCCCTCTTCGTCGGATGGAAGCGACGAAGGCCAGCCTGTCCGACGGTCCCTGTATCCATGACTATGCGGCGATAGCAACCGGTATGCCGGGGGCCCCATCCTAACACACCCATGGAGAGGCTGTGTGGAGTGACTGGAGGCATGCGGGGATACTGAGGTGAATCTTGGTTCTCACCACAAATCTTCGGCTTGTTCTGGGATCCCACATTCCAATAAGACAAGGTCAATAGCGGTTCTTCATCCTGAGGCTGCTGAAGATTGCCATAATCCGGAGTCAATTATTACGATGCATCGGACACCTTAGGCCAAGGAAAACAGGGCCAACGAATTTCTCGAAGCATACGGCCCTGCATCTTCCTGCGCCATCCCGCTTCGGGCTGTTTTCTAGCTACTGTTAGCTCCTGCTAGCTCCACATCTTGCGGCCAGGCAATGTTGGAGGTACGAACATGGCAGCCCTGAAATAAGGTACGATGCTTTGAACGGAACCGTAACCGATGTTACAACCAAGAAGATGCACGATTTAGCTAACCTCACCCCCAGGAAATGCTCTGATGGGGAGCTGTACAGCGCTTCGGTGTGCCTGGTTCCCCCACTCAGTCACGCTATTCACCCTCAGTTTTCAATCTGATGCACTCCCCAAATAACCAACCCCAACCTGTGCATTTTTCTCAGCTTATTCAACTTCCACCGCAGAAACGGTCCGCCCCTACCGGCGTGCCTACGTTGCCCAGAAAGCAACAAAGTAACAAGGGCGCAACATCCATGGAGAGCAGGCATGGACCTTGCAAGTCAACACCTTTATGGGAATTCGACTAAGAAGGTACTCTGGGTCATCAACGCGCCAGCAGTCCGCGGAATACCGGCATCCCTCACCTGCAGGAGAGCTGAAGTAGTTTGCGCGTGAGGTCTTCCCATCCTCTTACTGACCCGATGCCTCCGTTTTGTATCACATACGGACGGAGAAATACCCTCATACAGCCGGCATATTACGAATGGGGGTTCCGTTTGTTCCTTATCCGGGGAGAAGTGGCTCTCCGTCCCTGCGCATACTAGTCTTCTTTACGTCCCCTGGCTGTCTGGTACCTTGCCATCTTCCTCGCTCACCCCCTTCCACACCTGTTGCTATCATTCCCGTCCTGTTTCTCTCCACCATTGGCCCATATTATCTAGATACCTAGTGATGATCTTTCATTTGTACCGGTTAAATGTCGGCCTCGGCTGCTGGAAAGCGTTCGTGCTGGCAGTGTACCCACGCCTCGGGTTCCATATAAGTCATATGTGAGTCCATCACTACCTTATTGCTTCTCTCTCTCAACTGAAGCTTACTGCATATCGAACTCCCTCCCGTAGTGGTCACATTCGAGGAGACACGTCTTGCAAAGGACACAATCACTTATCTGGGTTTCTTCTTTGGTTTGACCTTTCTCGTCCCATTTTTTTCACTGAACACATGTACCTTTGGGCATTGGCGCCAGGCTCCTTGCATCTTTGCCATCGCTGTCTTTCAACCAACAAACAACATTTCACTTTCCGTCTTGCTACGCAAGTTTGAAGTGTTTTGGTCTGGAGACTAGAGCTCGACCCCAATATGAACGGTTTGGCTCAGCGAGCTAAGGATCACGGAATCGATCCGCCAGCCACTCCCCCAGAGACCGAGATGAGCAACTCAACCCCAAACACGGAGTTCTCTCCTCCATACAGCCCCCAACAAAAGGTGCAGCAGATAATGAAGGACACAAGGGTGGCAGCGAGAAAGAAATTGGAGCAGCTCACGCTTGAAGAGAAGGTACAGCTGATGAAGTCCCTTCGTAATATGGAGAAATGTTACTGACTCTTTCTGGAGGTATCTCTACTTACAGCCGCAGACTTTTGGAGAACGAAGACAATCCCATCCAGGAGTATCCCAGCGATCAAGACATCAGATGGTCCCAATGGTGCTCGCGGGGGGATATTTGTCGGGGGAACCAAGGTCTGTCATTTTGACTGAGTACTCCAAAAGATGGGTAACTGACTATACAAGGCTGCACTATTCCCTTGCGGCGTTTCTCTCGCAGCGACATGGAATAAGGAGCTTCTCTACGAAGTCGGACAGCATCTCGCAGATGAGGCCAAAGCGAGGTCTGCCAACGTTCTCTTGGCGCCGACCGTCTGCATGCACCGCCATCCTCTCGGTGGA